ATATACATATATATATGTATATATATATTTTTGTTGTTGTTATTTGCCATCGAGTCGCATATATATATTCCTGTGAGATATGTGTGTGTGTATCTGTATATATACATATATATGTGTATATATATGTATGAATGGGAATTCCAGAACACTTAATTGTACTCATGAGGAACCTGTACATAGACCAGGAGGCTGTTGTTCAAAAAACTGCATGGTTTAAAATCAAGAAGGGAGTGCATCAGGGTGGTATCCTTTCACCATACTTATCCAATCTATATGCTGAGCAAATAATCCGAGAAGCTAGACTATATGAAGAAGAACGTGGCATCAGGATTGGAGGAAGTCTCATTAACAACCTGTGATATGCTAATGACACAACTTTGCTTGCTGAAAGTGAGAATGACTTGAAGCATTTACTAATGAAGATTGAAGACTACAGTCTGCAGTATGGATTACATCTCAATATAAAGAAAACAAAAATCCTCACAACTGGACCTATAAGCAGCATCACAATGGATGGAGAAAAGACTAAAGTTGTCAAAGACTTCACATTGCTTGGTTCTACAATCAACGCCAATGGAAGCAGCAGTCAGGACAATAGATAACAGACAATCGATAACACTGGATAAGTCATCTGCAAAGGACCTCTTTCAAGTGCTGAGGAGCAAAGATGTCTCCTTGAGGACTAAGGTGCACCTGATACAAGCCACGATATTTTCAGTCGCCTCATATGCATGTGAGAGCTGGACACTAAATAAAGAAGACCGAAGAATTGATGCTTTTGAGATGTGGTGCTGGAGAGGAATGCTGAAAGTACCATGAACTGCTAAAAGAACTAACAAATCTGTCCTGGAGGAAGTGCAGCTAGAATGCTCCTTGGAAGCGAGAATAACCAGACTTTGCCTCACCTATTTTGGTCATGTTGTCAGAAGGGATCATTCCCTGGAGAAGGATGTCATGCTTGGTAAGGCAGAAGGTCGATGAAAGAAGGAAAGGCCCTCAACGAGATGGATTGACACAGTTGCTACCATGATGGGCTCAAGTATAGCAGGGATCACAGAGCTGGCATGGGACCGGGTGGTGTTTTGTTCGTTATGAGTTGGAGACAACTCAACAGCACCTAACAACAACAACATATATATGTATATGTGTATGTGTGTAGCTTTTTTGCCTCTATATTTCTTCCCAATTGGCATTATTTGTTTTTTACTGTACGAATTTCAGTATTGAGATCTCTTATACTTCTCCTGCTGTCTTCCTTCTTACTTTCATATTCATCTTTGTATTGAACATTTTGAAGCTATACTACATCATGGCTGACAGAGCTTTTTGTACATGAGTTAAAAGGTCCTAGGAAACTAGTTGTTGACAATCTCTTTCCTCTTTGCTATGGATTATGACCAAAAGCCGTATGATGGGTCGGACTCTGCTCTCCTACTGAGACCTTCAGTTATCCTCAATCATTCAGTTTCCCAAAATTCTCTGTAAGCTCATTTGGTCTGATGTCTAGATCACCATAATGCCAACTCAGCATTGGCATGCAGACACACGAAAAAATGTTATCTGCCCATTTTACAAAAGTGAAAATTAGGCCCAGAATGACTCAGTAGCTTATCTGATATAGTTAAACAAATACATTCAGGACTAAAAAGAGAGTCTAATAAGGCCCATGCTCCAAAATCTGGCTCATTTCCTTCATGACATACTTAGATATTTCTTTGTACCTTTTTATTCCTAAAGCCTTTATAAAAATTCCCATCATTTGCATTCTGTTCTTCTTAGTTATATGAATCTATTTTCTCTCCAACCTGCATCTTTCTTTCCTTGACTTAAAAAGAAAGACTCAGCTTTACTAAAAACACACTGCACCTCTCCTGTACTTCAGTAAGTACAGAAGCTAAAATTGACTTACTTTACTGCATAGCATGTCATTCATCTAATGGTGTAATCTAAGGGAATAACCTCTGATTTGAAAAAGGTGAGAACTCATCTTTAGGGCTGGACTACTTAGATTTCATGTGAGTAAAAGTCATAGAATTTTATGGCTGAGTATGCCTTAATACGAACCCTCTCTTAATACCAAAGTTTGGTGAAAACTGATGCTCAGAAAGGCCATGTGATTTCCCTGTGATCACAGAGTGAAGTTATAAACCAAGCCAAGAGTAGAACTCAACTCTCCTGACTGCTTATCCAGTACTCTTTCTACTGCTACCTTTGACTACTTCAAGTGCAGGGGAAACGCTGTTATTAACTTACCCTTGCCCTGATAGTCTCAAAGCATAACAATGGTGAAAGAATGGTGCATAAACACCTAATGATTATTCAGTTTACAGGAGAAGAGAAAGCCTTCTGACAAAATCCATATCACCTATCACTTTGAGTATAGAAAAACACATTTGTTTCTGAATCTCTTTAACATCAACTCTATTGTCAGGCAGTAGGGGTTTTTGAGGATCTACAATATCCCAGAGGGGTAAGTGGTTAATGTACTCAGTAGCTAACTGAAAGGTTGTAAGTTCAATTCTACCCACAGGCCCTGTGGAAGAAAGACTGGCAATCTACTCCCAATAAATTAGCCATTGAAAACTCTATGGGGCACAATTCTATTCTGACACACATAGGGTCCCCACAAGTCAGATTCAACACAAGGCCAACTGGTTTTACTGGACCATGCTCTAGGTGCTGGGAATAGTTGATAACATGAACTTAATTCCTGCCTTATAGAGTTTGAAGTCTAGATGAAAACACAGATATACAATTCATTATAAATAATTACAAACCAAATGACAATGTGCAAAGAGACGAGAAAGTTAGGAAGGAATGTGTTATTCCACTGCTGAGCAGTTCAACCTGGCCTGGAGTATCAGGGAGGACTTCTCTGAGGCAGTGATGTTTGAACTGAAATCCAGAGGTTGTGCAAAGATTCTGAAGGGAGTGCTCTGTCAGAGGGTAGAGGAAGGCTGCAGATGGAGGGTGCAGAGAAAACTGCACAGCTGTGTTCAGATAACTGACAGATGTACTACATGGCTGAAGCATATGAGGTGACATGAGATGGTGCTAGAGACAGAAGTGAGATCAGATCGCCCAGGTGGTACAGGCCATGATAAGGATGTGGGAATCCACTCAAACGTTTTAAGCAAGGGGAAGAAGTGATTAGATTTACATTTTTAAAAAGATCAGGTTGGTATCATTAGGAGAATGGATTGAAAGGACTGCATGTAGTTAGACCAGGTTGGAGGTAAACATATAGGCCAGGTGAAATGTGCACATAATATGTACTCTAGACCTCCCAACTTAATTCAACAGCACTACTTCAGTGATGCATTCTTCTGTTTCTTCCCTGTCTCTTTTTAATGAAAGGCAATCCAGTCAACACTGCTTTTAATATACAAATTAAAAAAAAAAAAAGACATAGCAGCCACCTAATATTTAAAAACAATTTGTGTGTGTGTGTGTGTGTGTGTGATAGAAGAAGGAAGCTTTTTTATGTTGATTAGGATTGTAATTTAAAATTGTATTTGGGCTAATTGCAAACATTCTAATTGTAAAAAACGTTGATCTAAATGATACATTTTTCATTGCAAATAACATGAGTCATCAACAACTATTCATGTAACAGTAAAGTGCCATCCATAATGTTTGTTTTGATTATGCTCTATGTTTGTCCTTTCTTTCTTTTTTTTTTTTTTTTTTTTTTTTTTGCTTATATTTTTGGTGTAAATTGGATAGAATAAATGTATGGAAATATGTAGAATAATGTATCAACTTCATGACATAATCCAAAAACATTCTGTCAAATAATTTGGATGATTTTGATAAGTGATCACATGTCATAACAACAGTGTACTTCTGGAGAAATTTACCTGACATTGTTTTAAAAGGATTTTTCAAATGTCTCCACATAAATAAGTTATCTTGTTTTCTGAAGAACATCAATGGCTAGTTTACATTACCTGGTGTGATGTAAGACCTAAGCATAACATATGGATGAGTGTTACCATTTATGAGTCTCTTTTTGACTACCTAAATTATCCTTGGGATATGACTTGGAATGATAAATCAAGTGATTTAAAAGTGGAACTCAAAATTGGAAAATTGAAGTCGTAAGTGCTTTTATCTTAAGTAGATGATATCTACGTACCTTGAATAGTAAGTGCACTAGCTTTGAACTACCTTTATGACAATGGGCTCTTCAGGGAGTGACATTACGCTAATACAATATGCGGGTCTTAGGAATTGAGGTTAAGTATGAATTGTTACATCTACAGACTTTCATGAGGGCCTAACTCAGCATATATGTAAATTGTTTATTCCATAGTTTTGTTTTGTTTTGTTTTTTTCCTGACAAACAGTATAATACACTCAACTGCCATTTAATAATTTTATGTTTCCTTTGGAGAAAGACTAATAACTTTTTTAAGAATTATTGTTTTGTATACCATTATTTCACCTTATACCTTGGGCATGGCATTTTTAAAGAAAAACTATTTATTCAAAATTTTCTTTTAATATAATAGAGAAATGGTTCTTGCCATGACAATGTAGAATATTCATTTTTCTCCTGTGTTCATAGAGGCAAGCAAATGTAAGAATTTTTGGCTTTGAGGAGGGTGGATATATTTGTTTTCATTATTCTTTTTGATATAGGAAGCAGGGAAAGTGCTTGCCATGGATTGATTTGTCACCATGCTTTTTCTTTTGAAATTCATGATTTTCACTGGCCATTAAAGACAGAACAATGACAATAATCCCCATTTCTATCACTCTTATTCCATAGGACTGAATGGTAAAGCAAACTCCTACATATCTGTTTCATGTTCATAAGACAGGGAAATCTGAAATGGAAACAGAAGGAGACTTTTATGTTTCTGTTTCTGTTTCTTTTAGTTCTTTTCTAGAATGGACCTATATATGCCATTTATTTTTAAATACTTCATCATTTTCATAAGTATATAAAACCCAAGAAAACAACAAATCTTGCTGGATCTCTTTATATCTTCTAGGTTGGGTGTATTGAAGATTTTCTATACCAATTAGAAGATAGTTTCCTAAAAATGAAAAAACTGAGAACTGCTCGAAGGCAAAAAACGAAAATGAAGCGGCTTCAAACCACACAGCAAAGCTAGCCACTGGGAAACAGGCACCGTCTCCAAGATGCCCCAGAGGAAGAGGCAAGGGCATCCACCCAGACAGACTGACAGCCAGATAACAAAGGCTGATTACCCAATGAATGAGGTGGCTCTTCCCATAACATCGTTAGCAAAGATGGTCTACACTTCATTAGTTTCAGCTGGCAGGAATAAATGTTCTCAGCAAGTTTGTCTTGACTCTTATTTAAGTTTGTCTTGTTTTGTTAAATAGCTTATAAAATAACCATGGCTGCCTCTTTCACTTGCTTTGTTCTTTCACAATTGACTGAAGTATTCTAGATCTACCCAAGTATGCTCATGGTACATTTGCATGATAGGTGCCATTGAGTTGGCTCCAACTCATAATGACCCTAAGTACAACAGAACAATACACTGCCTGGTCCTGTGACACCCTCACAGTCCTTGCTATGCTTGAGCCCATCATTGCAGCCATTCTGTCAATCCATATGTAATCCATTGAAGGTCTTCCCTTCTTCACTGACACTCCACTTTACCAGGCATGATAACATTGTCCAGGGAGTGATCACTCTTGACAACATGACCAAAGTAGGTGAAATGAAGTCTGGCCATCCTTGCCTCCCAGGAGCATTCCAACTGAATGTCTTCCAGAGCAGATTCTCTCATTCTTCTGGCAGACCATGGTATTTTCAGTATTTTTCACCAACACCACAATTCAAAGACACCAACTCTTCTTTGGTCCTCCTAATTCACTGTCTACCTTTCACATATCTATCAGGAGATTGGAAATACCATGGTTTGGGCTAGGCACACCTTAGTCTTCAACTTGACATCTTTGTTTCTTCACACTTTAAAGAGGTCTTTTGCAGTAGATTTTCCCAGTGCAATATGACATCTAGTTTCCTAACTGCTGCTTCCATGGATGTTAACCATGGATCCAAGTAAAATGGATCCATGACAACTTCAATCTTTTCTCCTTTTATCATGATGTTGCTTATTGGTCCAGTCATGAGAATTTTTATTTTATTTATGCTGAGGTATAATCCATACTGAAGATTGTAGTCTTTGATCTTCATCAGTAAGTGCTTCAAGGCATCTTCATTTTCAGCAAGCAAGTTTGTGCCATCTGCATATCACAGGTTGTTAATGAGACTTCCTCTAGTCCTGAAGCCACATTCTTCCTCATACAGTACAGCATCTCACATTATTTGCTCAGCATACAGATTGAATAAGTATGATGAAATGATACAACTCTGATATACAACCTTTCTGATTTTAAACAAAGCAGTATTCCATTGTTCTGTTTGAACAACACCTTCTTGGTCTATGCACAGGTTCTTCACGAACACAATTAAGTGTTCTGGAATTCCCATTTTTCACAATGTTATCCATAATTTATTATGGTCCACACAGTCAAATGCCTTTGCATAGTCAATAAAGCACAGGTAAATATCTTTCTGGTATATTTTGCTTTCATCTAAGAGCCATATGACAGTAGCAATGATATTCCTCATTCCACATCCTTTTCTCCATCCAGTTTGTATTTCTGGAAGTTCCCTGTCAATATATTGCTGCAACCATTTTTTAGTTACCTTCAGCAAAATTTTATTTCTGTGTGATAGTAATGATATTGTTTGATAATTTCCACATTCTGTTGGATCACCTTTCTTTACAATGGTCACAAATTCCAGTCAGTTGGCCAGGTAGCTCTCTTCCAAACTTTTTGGCATAAATGAGTGAGCACCTCCAGCACCGCATCCATTTATTGAAACATCTCAATAGCTATTCTGTCAATTCCTGGAGCCTTGTACTTTGCCAATTCCTTCATTGTAGCTTGGATTTCTTCCTTCAATCCCATTGATTCTTTATCATATGTCACCTCCTGGAATAGTTGAACGCTGACCAGTTCTTTTTGGCACAGTGACTCTGTATATTCCTTCCATCTTCTTTTGATGCTTCCTGGATCATTCAATATTTGCCCATAGAATCCTTCAACACTCCAATTTAAGGTTTGGATTTTTTCTTCAGTTCTTTCCGCTTGAGAAATGACAAGTGTGTTCTTCCCTTTTGTTTTTCTAATTCCATGCCTTTATGCATTTCGTCAGCCCCAGGGTTACAGGTGAGGAGAGACAACACAGGGACACCCAGAGTAGCAGGCCGGAAAAGCAGGAAAAAGGGGATAAAAGCCTTGAACCCGGACAGAAGAGCAATCAGCCAAAGGGATTAGGTGAGGAGGGGAAACTCAGGCCCACCCAGAGTAGCAGGCCAGAAGAGCAGGAGAAAGGGGATAAAAGCC